GACCAATAGAGAGATGGCATCCACCTTTTTAATCTCTACACAGTAAAGAAAGATGGGGGAGCCAAACTAGAAACATGTTCTTCCCTATCACCTCCAATTTTTCTATCTATATATATCCCTATATATACACAGACACCCACAATGTGAAAAACATCCCTATGGCAAGAAATACCCAAAAATCGTACGTAAAGAAAACTTGGGAACTATTTGGTTCCAAATTTTCCAGACAAATGGGAATAAAACAAATTAAATAAACCCCAGAAAAGACAACGCAACTCAGCATCAGTACCGAAGGGTATAGGAGAAACTCCTGGTAGAATGCAAGTGGCATGGAGACACTGCCCTGACACCACCTCTCACACACAGCAGCAAAAAACACTAAATAAGCTTTAGCACCTAAAATAGTCCTGCATTGTAGCACACACCTTGCTAAAAAAAGCACCTCTCATACCATGGTAACCGACCAATATGTAGTTAGACAACCCAGTTGTTAATTAAACAATCCTAACTTTACTAAGACATGGTTCAATAACACTTGAAAGCTTCCTTATGACTTTGTGTTAAAAATGTTAAATTATCATAAAGATGGGAACACGAGGATCTGAATTCTGCATTTTTAAGATCACAGTGAGGGGCACACTACATTGAAGACAGACTCATTTATAATACAGATGACAAAATCTAAACTTAAAAAAAATACATATTGTCATTAATGACTATTCCGCCTATGTTTGTAATGATCTTCTCCTTGACCAAGAAACTTAGTGTTAACAGAGCGCCATGCCATGAATTACTATTTTTTTTCTGAATAAGAATCTGCAAGACAGCAGAACTAAATTTCCTATCCTGACTACTGTAGTATTGACTGTGCTGTAGCAGTAAAATTCTTAAGCACATCAAGAGCCAAGTTTGCAAAAATTCAGAGTTCCATAAGACTTTGCTGAAATGCTTTGAGATTTTTTTACTTGCATTTTAAAGAAACACACCTTCAAACACACTTTTAAAAAAGAAACGCACTTTTCAACCTTCAACTGCAAGTGAGAGACACAGAGGTGTTATGTTCTTCCTCCCAATTAACCCTGGCTATTTTTACCCCTTACCTCTTTGTTTTGCAGGCTGATGCTCCTCCTCCTCAGTGGGTTCTGAAGGGTCATAATAATCACTACCATAGCGGAATCCCACTGCATTATAGGTACCATCCTCTGCCAAAGCTTCACTCAGTCTTTTATATTCCTCCTCTTGAACCAAAATGCAATTACCATTCATTAGAACATATTTAAAAGCTATTTTCTTAAAATAAAAAGTAGTAATATTTCTTACTTTAGTTTTTAAATGAGAAGTTTTCATCTAATCATTTTAGCTTTCATTAAAAACTGAATAGAAAAACACAGCATTTACATATGCTGACCATTTATTTCTTCCTGAAGAGATAAAGGCTGTGGGTTAAAACATTCTAATGTAATTATGCATACAAGAGCACAGAATTTAATTTATACAAGACTAAAAATGAAGAAGAATGTGTTTATTTGGGGTTTTTTGGGGGGTCTCAAATCCCAGTCTGCCCTCAGAATCTGGGAAATTTCTGTGTGGATCTATATTTAAACTATCCTGAGGTCCTCTCACATACGCAAAGACTCCCGTTTTTCGAATCCACTGGGTACTGTCAAGATAACATCAGAAAAAGAGAGTATAAAATTAGGAGTAAATTTAATTTCATAATTATTTATTTAAACATGTGCTAAACTCAGGAAGTTTCCTTGAGCAATACCTTGCCTCGCCTCCTCCTCAAGCAAGTCCGTATGCAAGGCTAAATACCTCTCTTCATCACAGAGGGCTTCTATTCTAGCTTCCTCTTCAGACAATTGATAATCTCTGTTCCATGTGGAATATTCAGCATCATATTCAGAAAGGTCATGTAGGTGACCACGCCCATCGTACCTGCAAGATGAAACAGCTGGTCAATGCAAAAAACTTAGGGCTTGGGTTTATGCGACTACTTAAATACTTACCCATTAAAAATGAAAAAAAAAAAAACAAACTTATACGTTAAAGCATATTTCCTTTTACAAGTTACGTTTAATTTTGATAATCATTTGTCACCAACTATCGAAAATTTGTTTAATAGTCTAAATTCCTCTCAAAGAAACTAACAAATTATTACAATTAAAGGCAAAGGTATCCTTTAATAGTTTAAGTGGGATCCATTTCCGTAACAGCTCTTACCGTACGTGCTTCAACCAACCAATCAATGTCACTTGCAAAATACGTTTTTCTGGAAAGTCAAATAGCTTACATTCACACAAACCCGAATACATAAATACCTATCCGTAAGAACCAAACGGTCGAAATTTCCTCGCTTCTTTCTGCTAGTCCCGAACTCTCAGGAGATATCTTCACCATAGAAACTTGCGTCCATTGGAGGTAAAATCATGGCTAGGCTCGGCCCCTAGCCATTTGGCTGAGGAAATAAGTTCTGGGTTATGTGATAGAGAGACACACATACATAGGAACAGTAACATATACATGCAATTTAAGGAGGTTCACCGTAAAAACGGCAAAGATCAATGACGTACAGTTCCTTTCTACTAAGCAGAAATAGTTTTATTTGCAGGAAAAGCACTGCATTGGGATAATGTTTATGAATCAGTAAGAGAAACTGATTGAAAAGTAAAGTGACAGTAAACTCGACTCCGCTGAGGTGTCTTCCCACACACAACTCTTGACTTGTGCCAACTTGCTAGACCAAAAACAAAGAAAGTAAATATTCTTATAGCAAAAAGTTAATCAAACACGTAGGTCTGGTTAATCAAGCTCTGTCCACAGGTAAACTTCAACCCATGTCTTCTCATAGCAATGTGCTTTTCTCAAAATGGTGAAAATGAAGACTTCCTGCTGCTGGAGATAAAAAGAATCTAAGCTTCCAAAGGAGTTTATAAGATTAGTCATTGCAAGCTACCTTAACTTACAAATGTATGTTATTCATACTTTCCAGTATATACATGCACATACTTAGTTTTTGCTCCCAACAATTTCTGTAACGCCTGTAAATTGGGTTACTGTTGCACAGGACCACAAAAATGGCCTCTACCCACTAATGAAATCTGTCACAAAAGTGATCTGGATTAGAAGTGTGCATCATAACACTTCTATTCTCATGTAAGAAAGAAATTAGTGTAACTACAAACACTTATGGTTGTTTTTTCATGTCTTCATGTTTATTCCAATTAATTTCAATCATAAAAATCATTCATGGCAGAAACCCCAAAATAGTGCAAGGGCATTTCTTTTTTCTCTAGTCTTATGGAACGAGATTAAAAAAACCTTCCCTTACTAATATTTTTCCAAGCCAAATACAGTTGTTAAAACAAGAAAAATTATGTATAGCACCAAAGTAATGATGAAATTGAGGGAACAAATATCTATAGTATGTCATGTGATCCTTTTCAAACCAAAATCCTTCCATCTTTCACACTGAGGTTTTCAGGGTCAGCCACAACTCTTAAAATTGTACTTCCAGTACGCCACTCAAATATACCCAACCTGACCTCCTATTTTCCTTCTCTCTAGGAAAATATTCAGAAAATTAATTCTGAATTAATTTATTTCTAAATTCCACCCTGCATTGCTGAAACAACTTAGAGACCAGAAGAAACGTCAAAGCAGATTCTCTCTCTGGCCATGAACCTGTACCTACTGCAAAGCAACCAAAAAGACCCAAGCCCTGACATAAAACTTGAGAAGTAAGCACCCAAAATCAAAGCCATTCTGCCTGATACAATGAATCATGGCACAAAGAAAAAGTAAATAGGCCAAGAATTGCTTCTGGGGTATCCTATCAACAGTCTACAGTCAGATTACGTAGGAGAAACAAAAAAACTCCATTTCCCCTAACGTGGATAAATACCCTTCCAATCCCCACACTGCACCCTTCTCGCTTAGAAAACATATAAAGTGCCTAATAAGTATTCCTATGTAGTAAGGCTCCTTTGGCTTCCACATGAGAAAAGATGATGTTTGTGGTTTGCACTGAAAAGGAACAGATCATTCCT